ACAAATAAGGAATCCTACTTCGCGGAATTTCATTTATCACGGTAGGGTCTAGAACCGATTAACCGCGATAAACGAGGGTTCACTGTACTTGAAAGGGCGCCCAGCCCTCAGCCTGTGCTATTTATCCCCTCCTAACCCCACTGGGGGCGGAGGGGGGCCAGGTAGAAGATACTGAGCGATCTTAGTATTAAGTCCGCCGCAAAGATAAACCGAAGCCAGGCCAGAGAGAAGAAAATGGGGAAGTTTATTCTGTGCTTCCCGGGAGGGATTCACAGACAACAGCAGGGAGTCAGAGAATCGTGCTCCGCTCTGCTCCCGCTCCCAGGGAGGGAAAGGAGAGATCAGAGAGGGAGAGGAAGAGACGGAGCCCTGAATTCCCAGAGGAACTCCACGGACCCCATTGGGGGGACCCGAGAAGTCACGTTTATCTGTGATAGAGAGCAGTTTTAAGGGGCTCAGGTGGGGAGGGTAAAGCAATAAAGAGTGGTTAGAAACCGCAGGTAGGCAAATAAAGAGGAAGGGGCCAGGAAGCTTAGCTTGGTGTGGGGGCTATAAATGGGTCTTCATCCATAAAATTCCGTGGCAGGGTGGTGTTTTGATCATTCCTTTTGGCGCAGAGGCTCATTGATTTGCGCTGCCCTTTGGAATTATCCCCCTGGTAGGGACAGACAGGCTACTGCTCCTCCGACCAGTGCCTGACCCATCACTTAGTGGCTGAGTTCAGGCACGTGTGATTTAATGTGGCTGGCGCCAGCGTTGTATATGTGCCCAGGTTGACCTTCACCTGCGCCAGTGACCCTCGTCTGTGCATGCCCAGTCTTGAATTCTCCCCAGAGGTGTCTAATGTATGCCTGATTTTTTTCCCCAACCCCTTTATGGTGGCCTGACCAGCTAATTTTTCATTAGCGTAGGCATTCAGTGGAGACTGACCCCCTTTATCCCGAATCTCTCAACCTTTCGTTCCTGATGTAAAAGGTGAGGCTATCTGCTTCCAAAAAACTCCCACCGTGGGTTTGGGTTTTGTGAGTTAGTCTTCAGGGACGCAGATTAGCAGGTCTCTCGCCCTCAAACTGCCAAGGCTGGACTTAGAGGTGGCCAGGTACTTCCCAGAACTGGTATTTCTCCTTTAGGGTGAAGCGCTGGAAGAGGCAGTTCTAAGTCAAGTGGGCCTGGGAAGTGCCTCCAGCAGTCCCAGTAAGCCTTCCCTGACCAGGTGAGATGAGTTTATTGTGCCAGCCTGGCTGATAAACACAAGTGGGATTGACTGAAGGGCAGAGAGATAAATGGCTTGGTGAGCCT